GGTGACACAGGGAGGAGCCCCTGCCAGGGGTCAGGGGGAAGATCACTTGGGGACACCAAGTGGCACTGGGTGCAGATGGGAATCCGTTTGTGGGTGTCATTATGGAGTCCTACTTACAGCAGACCTCTGGCCACCGGCAGGGCACGCTGGGAGCAGACCCAGCTCCAGGGACTTTTCCAACAACAGTGGGGAGGCTGAGCCCTGCGGGGCGGCACCATAGGCCTGTCCCAGAGACCCCCACCTACCAGACGTGGCTGGCAGTGAAGCACCAGGATGGAAGAGAGCCTTGGTCAAAGCTGCCTTCATTCCCTTGACCTGAGTGACAAGGCTCGGTGGACTGTCGTGTGTTGGTGCTCATTCTGCCAGTAACAGCTCCAAAACATGGGACCCGGGGGGGAGGCAGAGAGAGATGCCAGGCAAGGGAGATGGACGAGTGAAAGCATGGAATCACCTAATGGTAGAGTGTTGGCAGAGAGTGACCTGTTCTCAAAATTATCAGAGGTTCTTTGAAGTGCAGATTCCGAGCCTTATCTGAGACAAGCCTAGTGTATCAAAACACTCTGCAAGTAGGGCCAGGGAATTAGCATTATTAACAGGTGCCCTAACTGATTGCTAGTCCCACTGCATTGTGAGTAAGAGTCATTCAAAGGTTTTGAACCAGGGGAGTGACATGGGTGAATGTGCATTTCAGCTCAGTTCCTGGGGCCGTGGAGAATGCATTCAGGGAGAAGTCTCTGGAGGAAGAGATACTAACTAGCCGGAGAGGCGCTGAGCAGGGGCGGGGGTGTGGAGCAGGTCAGAGGATGCAGATGAGGAAAGCAGAGCTGAGCCCGGCGTTGAGAGGACATGGAGTCGGGTGAGAGAGAGGTCAGGAGTGACTCTGGGGTCTGGATGTCGTGAGCAGCCCTTCCTCTGAGCCCACGGGGCCCCTTGGCACTCAGAAAGTGAGAGAATCATTCATCACAGTCCATCCTGTGAAGCGTTCAGGAACAAATCAATAAAAGATGATTTCCCTGTAAGATCAAAGTGGAAAATGAACCCCCCCCCCACACACACATATACAAAAACCCTAGAGCATCCTAAGGGGACGCTTTTTCAAATAGTACAGTTTAGAATAAATTTCAATAAAATTGATCTAGTTTTTTGGGTAGTTTTGGCAATTAAAAGGATTCTCTTAGTTATCTGGAATGTTCATTTATAGAGATGCCTCATTTCCCTAATAACATGAGAATATGACCATCCTAGAGCAAAGCTTTTAATCTTTAATAAGGATTAAAGTTGTTATTTAAAGGAACCTTATCTTAGAAGCACTGCATGGAAAGAAACAATGAGGTTGCATAATCATTTAAATATATATGTACTAAGAGAACTCCAGGGTAGATAGGTGCCTGAAACAATGCAGGATAGCGAGGCCTTAACACCAACAATAAAACCATCAGCGCAGGGAGAACCCGAGTGGTCCCGGGGGATCAGTGACACCTGTCAGCGCAGGACACTCTGTGAAAGTTGCGTTGACACCTGTCCGATTCAGTTTCCCTGGACACTAAAGGCTACTTGCTGCAGGTCTCAGGTCCAGGAATAAGAGTGGATGGTGTGAGTGGCCAGAAGCGATTTCCTGAGGCCCCTCGTCCTTGAGCTGCTTGGAAGTGTCACTGATCACTGGGCGAAGCTGCAGGCAGCTCAGTGTGTGGGTCTCCTCGGCTCCCATTCTGCTTCCTTTTGACCTTACACCTGAGTCATCTTTTATTTATGTCCTCCCATAGCATTTCCATAGGATGGTTGTGGTCAACACCATTCATCACCTCTAATGGGCTCAAATGGAACTCTGAGATCCCCTGGGACGTGCTTTGATCTAAGAAAAGAAAAATTGCTAACGGCACTTCTTAAACTAGGAATGTATGTCTTCCCATAAATTGACCTTGTAGAGTTATTTGTGGATTCCAATAGGGAAATGACCTTCATAGGTCCCTGCACCTTCTCAGCCCTCCCTGCTCCCACCCCCGCCAGCTGATGTCCTCTGCCCACTCCCGCAAGCTCCGGGCCAAGGTCGCCGGGCACAGAATCGTGGCTGTGTGTCTTGGCTTTTTCCTTCTGCCATTTGTTCATTTATTCGCTGAATATTTATTGCACCCCTACTTTTTCCAGGCAGGGTGCTGAGTGCTGGAGACACTGCGAACAGACAGTCTGTGCTCTCACGGACTTCCCAGCTAAACAAATAAAGGACACAGTTCTGATTCGGAGGAAACCGTAACGTGAGCTCTGGAGAGGCGCTGTGGGGTCTCTGGGCGGCTCTGGCAGCCTCTGTTGCTTGTCCCCCTCCTGTTAATGCAGGTTTCTGGGGTGGGGCGGTGGCAGGGGGAAGGGAAGCAGGGACTGTGTATTGGACACATCTCTTGACACCCCCTAAACCACTACTAATTTACTCAAGCCCTTTGGTGTGAAATCTCCACCTCAGCAGACAGATCCTCTGCCTCTGACCACCCCTGCCCTGGCCTGAGATCCCTTGTGCTCTGCTGCTCGCCCACCTCCTGGCTCCCTCCCTCAGCCGGGGTCCCTCTGACCTAATGCTTAGGTCCCCGAGGTGTCAGCTGCCAGAGGTCACCCGGACTGTGAGGAAGGTCAAAGCATCCTCCAGCAAAACCCAGTCATCCTCCCACACAAGCCTTGATTTGTTCTACGACACGCAAATCTCCTTTTTTCTGATGATAAAAGTAAAATACACATAATAATAGTAGCATTTATATAAAATAATTTTTACTTAAGATGTTTTACATAAAACAACATTTATAATAAAAATGACATTTCAGAATTGAATAAAGCTGAAGTTCAATGTATTCACACCTTTTACATCTACTGCCAGAAATAACCACTTTTAACAGCTTGGTATTTATCCTTCTAGATATGTTTGTGTTAATGCAAACATATATGTATATCTTCATATTGTCCTACATCTTCATATCGTCCTGTAATCAGTTTTTTTTTTCATCTGAATATTCATGGCGGACACTTTCAGGACGGTACGTGTGAATCCTCCTTAACCTTCCCAGGTGCCCAGTATTTCACTGTAGGATGTACCATAACTTCTCAGTGAATCAGTCCCCCATTAGTGAACATTTAAATTCTGTCATATTTTGTTGTAATAATCTCATAGTAATGAATATCCTTATATAGATGGTCGTCAACTTAAGATGGTCCAACCTAACGATTTTTTGACTTTAGGGTGATGTAAAAGCGATATGCATTCAGTAGAAACCATACTTGGAATTTTGAATTTGGATCTCTTCCCTGGGCTAGCGAAAGGCAGGAGGAGCCTCCCTCGTGATGCTGGATGCCGGTGAGGAGTCGCAGCTCCCAGTCAGCCATGATCAGGAGGGTCCAACCATTCTGCACACATGCAACCATTCTGTTTCTCACTTTGTGTACAGTAGTCGATAAATTACGTGAGATGCTTAACACTTTATTATAAAATAATCGTTGTGTTAGATGATTTTGCCCAGGCTAATGCCAGTGTTCTGAGCACGTTTAAAAGTAGGCTAGGCTAACCTGTGATGTTCGGTAGGTTAGGTGTAGTCAATGCATTTTTAACTTAACATATTTTCAACTTCCAAAGGGTTTGTCAGGAGGTAACCCCATCATAAGCTGAGGACGACCTATATACCCCTCTGTGTCAAATTCTTCTTAGAAAGATATTTTGGGGCCTAATAACATGCATTTTTACTGGATTTCCATACACAGTAAAGTGTTCTTCACCACCCCTCACTTAACCCATGGCTGGATGGACTGATGTACTCCATTTGCTTCTAGTATATTCCTCCCTGGGAGCTGTGGTGTAACCCTGCTTCCCACAGGAGACCCCAGTACTTAGCTAGAGTGTTTGTTGCTGAATCTGTTTATTCCAGTTGAATTTGTTATTGTAATTGTGTAATTTATTTAATTGGTATATAAACCAAAGAAGTATGAGAGGGAAAGAAAGAGTTGTTTAAAAAAAAAGTTTATGGTACATTTTTCTGATTCCCAACTTGAACTAAAAAATTTTTTAGTAACTAACCACCTACCCCAATCATATCAGATACAAGGCGTCAACTGACTCAAACTTCATCAACAATGTGACCATGTTTTCGAGTTCTGTCCTCTCTTGACCTGCCTTGCCAGTATTGTCTCTGGAAAAACATCCCATAGCTGTTTGGTTTATTTGTAAATTGGGTTATCATTACTTCTTACAAATACTTAAGAACCAGGCATGCCTTTTCTAGGGTATCCAATACTACCCACCTCATAAAAGTTGATGTTTAGCCTTTCTTCTCACCTGCCAAGCCCTTGTAAGTTCTTGTAATGCTAACAGAGACACAATCTTCAACCTCCCAGAAGAGAAACAAAATCTGGAAATCTCAAGTGTTGCCTTTGAAAGTGAAAGAGTCTGTACAAACATCCTGTCACTCTCCAACCTAATAGGACATTAGAAATCATTTTACAGCCTCTCCAAAATCTACAAAATCCTTTATGTAACTGCTGTAGGTACTTACGATTATTATTTGTTGGATGTATAGATATACAAGGAAACATATTTCTGTAGGGTTGGCTGTACAGCGATCTCTGATTAAGTCAGAATGAATGAAGAATTAAGCCACAGGGCATTCACTCAACAAATATTTGTTAAATGCCGACCGTATCCCAGTGGGCTGGTAACTTCTGGGATAATAGTGGGTAGTGGGTACCCTGGGGAGAAGTGCTGTCAAGATGCTTGTCATCTAGCTAAAGACTTCAGGCCACTGGGAAATGCACAAATGCAATTTACTCAATGGAGCAAGCACTTCTGGAACTGCTCAGACCACGTCTGCACCTGGCCAGTGGAACAGGAGGCAAAAAGGCAACAAGAAAGTTTTCTCATGCAATCTATGAATTCTCTCAAGGCTTGCCCATGTAATTGAAGTATCCATTTCACTTACCCTGTATGGCATTTGACAAAGCCAGACATCTTGCTGCTGTGTTTTCTCTTCTAGGATATCAATGAGTGCATTCTTGAAAACTATCCTGAGTGTTCCAACCCCAGATTATTTTACATCATTCCATATTTTTGTGGACAGCATCCCAGATGCAGGTAAAGACTAACACAGACTCGTGGCATGCTAAGGTGGAGAACGATGGCAGGGAAGCCACCAATTGGCACTGTGCGGGAATCTCTTGCATGCCTAGTCTCTCGGCCTTCTGGAATTCAGGTCATGTTTACTGTTAATCTTTAAAGATTGCATTTGAGACTCTGAGTGACCTCTAAATGATGAAATTAACAGATCAAGGTCGGACAGAGGCCTTGAGACCACCCCATCAAGATGTGTAACTGGAATGCCAACTGAACCCTTTTTTAAAATTCCGAACTCATAGCTGTCACTGCTCAGCCCATGAGATAGTAAAGACCAGGGGTGAGCACCCAGCCTGCTCCTCCATAGTGCTCTACTCCATCAGCAACTATTCTTGCCCACATGCCCTGTCTAATTGGGTCTGAAACACGGGGTGCTCACCCCTGAAAGTCAATAGTGTCTCTCTCAGGAGAAATACTTAGTAGAAAAATTACTTTCTAGTGATTGCCCCTCAGCCTTACTTGGATGCAAGACCTTCTGTAGAATGTGACTGACTCAGATAGTAAGGCTCTCAGAGTGTTGGTCTGCCCACCTCCTGCATCAGCATCCCTGGGGCCCTTACCGGGATCCTCCACCTCATCACAGTCTCTGAGGTGGGGCACAGATAATTCTGGGGAGTCTAGTCTAGCTGCAATTTAAATCCATTGTACTAGACGAACATGTAGCCTTGAGAAGAAATGGCAGTAATGCACAATGAACATTATCTTCATGTGGGGGAAAATAAACCCTCTACCAGAAGTGACATTTTCCCCCCAAAGGGAACATTGATGAGGAGGTCAGTGTGTTCCTGAAAAGACCCAAGAGAAGAAACCCTTTCTGAAGGGCAGCTCATCCCTTGTCCTTTCTGTTCGCACTCTGATCACTGCTTAATTACCATGGGCATTGTTGTTGTTGTTGTTGTTTTGCTGAGTTTACCATAACACAGGACTTTGTTTATGGTCCAGATACTAGGACTACAAGTGTCGGTTTTCTGCTTTATCATAAACTTCCTAAGTTCAGGAAGCCTCCCCGCTCCAACCCTCACCCCTGTATAAATGTCTCCTGGTTCACAGTCAATGCTTCAGACACTGGAAAGATCTGGGGCCCGATGACTCACTTTCTGTCACAGTGAAGATACTGAGAAGCATGATTCTAACTCCCTCAAGTATTTTCTTAAATTATATATTTCCTAATCTTGGGGAGGGCGCTCGCGGTGCCTTATCCTGGTACACACATGATGATTTTCAAAACTCTTTCACAACGCCCCCCTGCTCCACCTTGACAATTACTCAAGCTGGGTAGGCTTGCCCCAATTCCCTTGGTTGGTGGATGCCGGCCAGGCCTGGAGCCCAGCTCCTGTGACTCCTGTCCTTTCCCACTCACATAAATGCTGTTAGCTTGGAGCTCTGCCTTGCAAATGAGATTAGGCTGTTTTCCTTCTGTAATTAAAAAAAAAAAAAAAAGTCTTTAAACTCTTTAAAAAAGAATAAGATGAGCAAACATGACCTGATACCTATTTTGATTTCAATAGAAATACCGTATCAGTACGTTTCATGATTTCAAAACCCCTCGCTTTATTGGTTTGCTCCTTCTATTAAAAAAGCCATTCTAATGGCCCCTTGATTAGCGTTTATAGGACCTAACTGCCTCTGTCTGTATCCTCTTTCTAACAAATATTTTGGCCAGGCCCCCTGAGGCCCTGGGCGAGGCAGTGCCGACCCGTGAACGTGGCAGAGGTCAGAAAGGGGGAAAGGCTGGTGGCAGCGGGAAGACCCCTGGAGGTGGCCACATCAGGCAGGCCTGGTCCTTGAAGGAAATGGGATTTGGACTCAATCAAACGGCGGTGGGTGGGTAGAGGAGGTACCTTTTCAACATGTTGTTGCCACATTTCGAAAATGACTCTCTAATTGAAAAATCATTTTTATATCCATAAAGGGAGCCTGGTGAGTGGGCCCTTGAAAGAGCAAAGTTGAACGTGAATGAAAACTTCCTGCTTGTGGGGATTCTCGAAGAGTTGGAAGACGTGCTGCTTTTACTGGAAAGATTTTTACCTCATTACTTCAAGGGTGTGCTCAGTATCTACAAAGACCCAGGTAACTCCCTTTGTAGAGGCTCTTTGGCGTTTTGAGGATTACTCACCTTGAACGGGACACGGGCCAATAAAGGAGGGAAATCTGTTCATGAAGAGAGGTTGCCGCTGGCTTGCAAAGGAAGGGTAGAATCACGAGCTATAGATGCCAAAACCTGGAGCTTCAGGTCCCAACCTAAACTTGCCATGTTTGAAAGCCCTGATGGTTCCATTTCTCCCTTTGGAAAGTGCAACTGGCAACATCTGCGTTGACCTTGTCCTGAGCGTGTTGCTGGAATGTGCCAGTGAACAGACGTGTACATGTTGGAGTCCATTGATGGAAACAGGAATGTGAAGGAACCACAGCTTAATACCCTTTCTGGGCCCTACTTCCATTTGCCAAAGCACTCTGGCGTATAAAATGTTGGCAATAGAATAGATAGAGGGGCAAATTGAAAATGCAATTATGATTTTACTCTAATAAATGGAGTCGTTTCCAAATAGAAGCAAGAAATGGAATGCAGTAGGGCAATCACAGAGGTTGCCCACAGAAATGTAATTACTTTCAGAAATCCATCATTTATTTTTCTCATTATTACTTGATCCTGAAAGTCAAACAACATTGTTTATTTCCTCTTCTCCTTAATCTACTGCTGCCACAAGCCTTGCATACTTATTCACTGGTCTCTTTGTTGTTTTGTCTTGTCATCCTGAAATGCGAGGTGGCCTGGTGCTTTGTAGAACTGAGGAGCAGATTGAAAGGTCCCCCAAACGCAGCCCTGCTGCCTCCCGGTCCTCCGCCGGGCAGGGACCACATGCCACACCTGCCTCGTTGGCACGTAGCGATGCCCACGTGAACTCGGCTTTGCCTGGAGCAGCCCTGGATCCTGTTACCTAAGGCAGCCCGACCACCACCGGGGGTTTACAGGAGGAACATGGCTGGCGGGTGGGTGCTGCCCGGGGCCTCTCAGCTCTCTCCTTCAGAGATACATTCTGACACACCTGCATGCAGGAACATGACCGTGACCCTTCACGCGTGCCCTGCAGGTGTGTCTCCTCAACAGGAAATGGGGTGTGAATAGCTAGAAGCAGAAGAAACCCCAGTCACTTTTTGAAACCAGGCCTTCCTTTGCCCCTACAGCAGTGGAAAATTGTAAAGAATTTCAAGAGCCGTGCCGTGACCCACTTTTAGCTCCGGAAGATAACATAAACTGGAGTCTTTGTGCAAGATGGGGTCTTACTCTAAATTAGACTTTTTTGAAGAAAAGGTTTAGATCATTCATCGTTATTTCCACTCTTGGGCGTTATATTGTAGAGCATGCGTGTGTGCATGAGTACATGTGTGCATGTATGTGTGGGATACGCAGTATGAGATAAAAGGTGAGCAAGATCCTGCAGACACATTGTTGTCAAAAAAAATGAATGCCCTCTTGTCCCCACATTTGAGAAGAGTTTCGGTGACTCTACATCACACACATCGTCCGTCCTCAGGCCAGGAACTGGTGTCATTCACGGGTGCCAGAGCCCAGTACGCGGAAAGTCGGCATCTGGGGTGTAACCCCTAGAACTTGGGTGAGGGTAGTTTTATCTTTGTTCTTCTTAAATACAAATAAACCGCAAATCAAAACCTTACCCCGAGGAGCCCACTTGCCTGCTGTTGTCAGAATCTATCATCTTGACTTCTCAGCTATTTTCTCCATATTAGCTATGTGACTTCTCAGAAATTGGGCCTTGGTCCCATGATCTATAAGCATGTAAGTTAAAGTAGAACGTATTTCTGAAAACTGAGTGACTGTTAGCTCTTTTGATGTTAGCCATGATCTTTCCACCTATAATTTCAAGATTTTTGTCCTTTTGAGTTTGGCATAGCGGTATATTAAATCCCCTGAGGCTTGCTGCCTTGGAGAGGGTAAGGGTTGTCTGGTACTCCTGTGTGGCGGGATGAAAGATTTCTATAAGGCCAGAGTCGACACATGACCAGTTCACACAGTCCAGTGGTACCAGTGGTTAAGATAGTGAAATATGTCTATACTGCCCACAGCACCCACCCTCCAGGTACACCTGCTTCCCCGGCTGCCCCTTATCACGCCCCATTCCAACAGTGAAGTCACAAAGGGGGTCATTCATGGGCATGGAGGGAGTCTTCCGAGCTCTGGCCTGGGGCTACACTCGGCAGAAGAACTCTGAATTCAGAGCCTGAGGGGAACTGGTCGCCAGTTATTTGGAATACCACCACCCCAGCATCACATATTTGTGCATACGGCAAATCGAACCCTTGAGTGATTGCTCACGGCTTTCCACCATGCTTTGTGGTCTCTTGGGCATCTTCTGGAGAGATTCTCCTGCAGTGACACTGAAGGCCAAGCAGTCCCACAGCTGCTGTCTCTCAAGGAACCCCGTATTCCCTGGGCCAGGGGACAGGAGAGGAGCACGTCCTCCTGACCCACTTCTCAATACGGTTTAGCCTTGACGAAACTGAAGCACCTGTACTAGGTTCTTATGGCCAGCGTGTTGGGGTCAGCCAGGTTCAAGCAAGTCCCTTGAGTGATTTCATACCAGAGCTGCCTCGTCAGCACGTTTAGTCTAAATTCTCAGATTACGGAGCCCTGAAATCATTGCTCTTGCCCCTTACTGAAGAATTTTATAACTGAAGAGCCTAGAGAACAGGGGGAAGAAAAACTGAAAATCTTAGACACCGAGGGATCTAGTGACCCTTAAATCATTGTAGATTAACCAGCCATAGAGCTGGATTGAGGTGCAGACACTTCACTGGCCATTTTTCTTTGGTGCTTGTCCTGTTGTCTTGAAAAATGTAGGTGTGTGCTGACTTTTAGTGAGCCCCCTCCAGCAATACAAAACATATTTAGACCCATCTCATTACTGAAGAGAAAGCCCTAGCAGCAGTGACTGTTTGGGGAGCTAGTAAAAATAGTAAGGTCTGGTAGTCAAATGGGTTTTCGCTTATTCTAGATAGGAATGATATTCCTTAATTCCTTCCGGACAGTACTGCTTGTTTCAATAACCCACCGCCTAAGGAAGTTAATAACTTCCCTACATAATAGTTTGACTCTTTGCCCCTACGTTGTTCATTTCTTACAGGAAAGTATGCTGACAAGTAAATTTGTCACCTACCAAGAATATTTGAGAAACTTAATTTTTAGGAATTAAAAAAAATATTTTGTGTTAATGTTTGCATTTTGTGGAGACCCATTTAGCATATCTCAAAAGAAATTTATACTAGTAAGTACTCAAGAGGAAAATTTAAAAAAATGAGTATTGGCATGTGAATAACCAAGAGAATATGCTCAGATGTTTCTCACCAGCCAGGGCAGGGTAGTTGCTGATGTGGAGGCGAGTACCCCGGAGAGAGCACTCAGTAAACGCCACCCAGCCTTGGCTTGAGTTTGAATTAGGGAGAACCAAGCCCCAGACAGGTGTACTGGTTAAGAAGAGCTGACCTCTCTTGTTCAGCCTACACCGTCTGATTTGTTGATTAATTAATCTTGATTATGTTGGCTCATTACTTACCTTTTCAAAATGAGAAACTGGAGCTGACCCAGAGAAGTGGAGAGGCTGATCCATAGTCGCCCACCAAAATGTGGAAGTAAGGGGCAGAACTCACCTGTTCCTGAGCCATGAGTATTGTGTTTGTGAATGCTTTTTCTCCTTCATTCTTTAAAAACTGACACGCTGTGACCCACGAATGTTTTTCTTAGTCATAATTTCTGTAGGAGCTAAAATCACAGTGGTGTTAGAGACCAAAATAAATAAGTAAATTAATTAAAGACAGAGAACATGTGAATATCTGTGATAGGAACAGTCCTTAAATGAGTGTCCCCTGGCTGGGCAAATCACCGAGCTGTTATAGTTCAATAGCGCCACCTAGCATCCAGACATTGGAACTGTATGACCTAACGTTAACTCCCATTACCTTTCTTCTGCCTGGAGACTTGAAAGCTCATGTGTCCAATTCTTTTCCCTCGTATTTTAAATACTTTCCATTACCAGCGTTACATTAGTATTCATTTTCAACTTTTTTCCATTACAAATGTAAACATTGGTGCCACGGTAGGGAATTTACTAGACTTTTGTGAGCTGCCTTGAGACTCTCACCACCACCTATTACAAAGGAAAAACGTGTAATTCCAAACAAATGACTTATATACTAACTCTGCAGAGTTCATTCATAAACTGGGTGCTTTGGTTTTTTTTAATGTTCTTATTTAGATATTTTTATAAACAATGATAGATTACAAATTTAAATATCATTTTTTACTATGCATGAATGCTATTTAGACCCTCAGTAGGAGTACAGTAATGTATGCTGAATCCACATGCATTGCAGTATTTAATTCTGAGGACATTTACATAGAAAATAATAGCAAATATGTAGAAGAGAAAATTTAATATAGTATGCTACAGGAAAAATTCAAGTTTTCCTCCATCTCTCAATAAAAATACCAGACTGGGTTAAAACAAATACGAAGTGATTAAAGCTTGGCCTATGTATATAAAGAACAGCCAGTCTTTAAGGAAAGAACACTGAGTTGAGAGTTACAGGATCCTCTAAGCCTCTTTCTGCCACAATTCTGCCCATATGACTCAGGGTAAATGCATATTTGGTGGCTGATCTCTAAAGGCTGCATTATTATGATACCGAAGCATCAAGCAGAATATTTTAAGGCTTCATGTTCTACCTTTTGTTGGTTTGCACAATTATAGGGTACTTCCCCCCCTAAAAGCAAGAGCCCTTGGACAGCCCCCATTGCCTTGATAATTTCCAAGTTTAGTTATGGTGGCTGTCGCCACCTACAGGGCATGACAGAATCCTAGATGGAGGGTTATTGGTTCAGAACCTCTCTTGCCTATAGCCTCCGATATTGAGGTGACCAGCTCAAACTCTGGTCACGGTGTCCATCTCTTTCTGTACCATATGCATTTCTGTCGAGAAGAGCACAGAGCACAGAATCTGGAGTAGACAGACTGGGTGCTAGGTATAATTCCTCTAAGCCTCAGTCTCCCCAT